ATCATCACTCACAAGTTTGATCAGAACTCAGCAAATTAGCCAAACTTGCGTGATGATGAAATAACTAAATAAAAAAAAGTTAATAAAATACCAATACACAATGCAACAAAAAATAAAATCTTACCACCAAGATTAATGAAACCCTCTTTTTAGCAAAACAAAGCCGTAACATCGTCCCGTTATTTCGCTCGTATATTTGAAGTACAGAGATCAGTGCATATTTTGTATTGCTCTGCTAAGCTGACACTTTACCGTTGTTATGAAACATCTAGCTGCGTGATCAATACTTCACATCAACTACGAGCAGCATCCAGTAAGACGCGTCGTAACATTAAAGATAAATTCCCTTTCTTAAGCGAGTTCAAAGGCCAAACAGAACGCATAGCTCTAAATGGAAACCTGCTGAACAAACCATTGGTAAAACTCGTCCGGTCCAAACTTAGAGTCGACCAAAATTTTAACGAGAGAAGAAGTGGAAGTTAATCGGAACACAATCGGTCTTATGGCAGGTCTGGATGCTCGCGGCCCCTGACAAAGTCTGACTAATGCCACCAGATCTCTAGAAAGAATAATGGTCCGAATAGTGACTTCTATTTGGACCCATGAGTGATGAAGAAAGCAAATAGCAACGAAATTTCAAGAATCAAAAAGGGAAGAAGCCAAGAGAGTAAAGAATCAAAAATATTAAATTTAATAAATGGCAGTGTTGTAAAGCTCTGGCTCATAATTGCGAATTTCCTTTTGAACTACAAGTGCACATAGTACACATGTCAAATTGTTTATTTAGTGATACAGAGATTTGTTAATTGACTTAGTATTACTCGATTACGGAGACTGGTCGAAAAGGTTGATTCGTACGGAGTCACGTGCATCACACTTTTTTTTGCCATGGCTAGGGTACTAAAAATGAAAAGAATGACATATGGACGCATTTGATTCAACCTCCAAATCTGATTCTGATCCCTGATTTGAGCCAATCACGATTGAGGATCAGAATGAATTTTTGAAAAAAAAATTTTCTGACAAGTAAACAAAATTTAAACGTAAATATTAACAAATTGATTCTATTAATTAATATTGTAATCATAATTAAAAAAGGTAGAAAAGTAAACTTTCTATCTATTTTACCTTGTAACGTGACAAACTGAAATAAATTAAATATATTTTTATTACGTATCATATCAACAGAAAAATGTCTTATAAACTATGCGATCAGATTTCCAAGTATATAGGCTTCAGTCCTGAAGAAATCTGTCTCCCAATTACAGATGAAGATAAACAGCTTTTTCAGGAATTAATAGCAGATCAGGAGGATGATTGATATTGTAATGAGTGAGTATTGATTTTTGCTTCATTACGAACATAACTACAAGGGTGAAAAATTAATACATATAATGTGGATATATATATGTACTAAAAAAGATGCTGAGAAAGTATTGATAGAGGTACCTCCATATCGAAAAAAGATCATAATTATTTTTTCTTGGCAAAAGTGATTGGTGTGAACAATGCGAACGCGGAATAATTCAGATTTTTAGTTTAAACTTTTAAACATATATATATTGTATTGTTGTGATATGAATTTTAGCATATCACATGACTTTTCATAGTTAATTTTCATTGGATAATTGATTTATAAAT